TCACCTCCCCCCCCAGTCTCCCCAGCACATCCCGCTGGGTGGTCTTTGGCGTGCACGTCGCATCAGGCGCGGTTCCAGGTGTCGGTTCTGTGCTGTGAAGTCACCCTAAGAGTCACAAGAAAATACTTTTTAAATACCTTGTGACCCGATCCTAGGCCTGGGGTGTCTTCGGGGTCAAACTTCCTCCACGGAGCTTCCTTCCCAGAGGTCGAGGTGGCTAATGGCCCTGGGCTAGTGCCCGACACTCCAGCGCCCTAGAGCTGCTAGTTTTGTCACTGCTGCTGTTTATGCCAGGGACCAGCAGACTTTCTGCAAGGGCCAGACGGTGACTCGTGGGCCACGCGGCTCTGATCCTCCCTGCCAGTGGGCACAGGTGCAGCCTCAGACAGCTGACAAGGGTGAGCAGAGCCAGTTCCAATAAAGCTTTATCAGCACAGCAGACAGCGGAGTGGTACATCCCAGAGAGATGGACAGGGTCACTGAGGTGTCTCCAAGCTTGTCCTCAGGCCGGGTCACAGGCGAACGTGTGCCCAGCCCCCATGCTGGCCTCTCCTTAGGATGCCACCCTGTCCCGATGCCCGGGCAGCTCTTGCCCCCCCCACAGTGCCCAGGCTCACACTTTGGTCTCTCAGCACATGGGAGCTGTCTCATCTGCACACACAGTCGAAGTGCCATGCTGGCTCTGTGTGAAGCAGCCTCTGTCCTCCCAGCTTGAGTCTGGCGTGCTGGCACGCCATCATGATGCCAGGGTTCGTGAGAATCAGAGGCTCTGGGGAGTCTGCCCAGAGTTCCCTCCTGAACCCGCACGGAGACAGCCCGGGGGTCGGTGGAGCCCTTGACCCGCAGCCGTTGCTGGGAACTATGTGTAGCTGAACTTGGAAAATGGAGTCCTGTTAAATGCAGGAAGGATCTTATCAGTGAGCGACCACGTGATCCCCTGTGTTGATGCGAAAGACCCTGCACAGCCCAGAGGATGCCACTGGGTCCTGGGTCTTAAATCCCGTAGCCCCACTCATGAACCCGGGACACCTCCTCCTGCCTCACCGTCCCTGAGCCCAGCTGCCCCTCAGCTTGTCCACCTGGGGCACCGGTGGGCACCTCAGACTCACCATGGCTGACTCTGGCCTGCTGTGCCATTCCCACCCTGGGAAGGGTCGAAGCCCCTACCTGGAACCCTGCCAGCTCCTTTCTGTCTTCCTTGGGGTCCAGCCCAGCTTCTGACCTAACGACAGGGCTCCCCTTGTCCTAGGCCCACCCTGTCTTGCCTCCCGGGGTCTATACAGACAAGTGGCCGACAGCCATCGGCAGCTGGATGAGTCACCCCCATGTCCTCACTGCCCCCTCCGTGACCTAGGTGCCTGTACATCTGCTCCCAGCCCGCCCCCTCAGCCCATCTGCACTGCCCACCTGTCACCTTTGCTTCGGGTGGTCCCGTGGCTCCAGGCCTCTGCAGAAGGGAACTCCCGGGAGGCTGTGGCTTCCCGAGGGAGAGCTTGATATAAACAGGGGGGCGGGGGGCGCAACACGGCTGCGGTGACCTCAGCCGCCACCCTCTCTCCTCAGGCTTTTCCTGGTCATCGAGTACGTCAACGGAGGGGACCTCATGTTCCATATGCAGAGACAGAGGAAGCTCCCAGAGGAGCATGCCAGGTGGGTGCTGCGTCGGGTGGGCATGGGCTGGTGTGGGACCCTCCCGGTAGGTCAGCTGTGAGTTAGTGGAGAAATGGCGGAGGGTGCCACCTTTCCTGCCAAATGCCAGTTCCCGGGGGCCCAGGGACTAGAGTCTGGGGGTCTCTGGGTCACGTGCCTGGGACACACACCAGGTCTGGCCTTGAGCGGGCAGCGCCTCAGCTGCGATATGGGTTTTTCTGGAGGGCTTTGTCTTGGGGGCTTCTGCTCTGCTCTGGCCTTTTCCCTATTTCCAGAACAGGAGACCATGACCCTCCCAGGGGTCACACCTGCGAGTGTCCCCTCAGCACCAGAACAGTTCCTACCACTGCTCTGCAGGAGGCGTGGAGGGCGTCTGCCAGGCGTCCTTCCTGCAGCTTCAGGCTCAGGGTGCCTGAGCCTCTTTGAGCTCCTTTGACCTCTTCTGTTTCCCTTTCCCTCATTTCCTCACTTAAATCTCCATGCAGTTTTGTGAGTCACTTTAGATTCTTGCTGGGCCAGGCTCGGTGGCTCAGCTTGTAATCCCGCGCCTTTGGGAGGTTGAGGTGAGTGGATGACCTGAGCCCGCGGGTTCGAGACCCGCCTGGGCAGCAAGACCTCATCTCTACAATAAATCAAAAACTCAGCCGGGCATGGTAGCACGCACCTATAGTTCCGGCTACTCAGAAGGCGGAGGTGGAAGGATCGCTGGAGCCCAGCGGGTCGAGGCTGCGGTGGCCGGGAGCGGCCACTGCACTCCAGTCTGGGCGACGGAGTGAGACTCCAACTCAAAAAAAAAAAAAGATTCTTGCTGGGGACAGGCAGGCAATCAGTCAAAAACAGCGACTGCCTCCACACTCTCTTTTGGTTTTAACTGGGGTAAAATACATACGACCTGAAGCACGCAAGGGCACAGTTCAGCAGGGTGGAGCACATCCATCCAACATGCAGCCGTCACCACCCTCTGGGAAACATTCCTCTTCCCATGCTGACCAGCCCCTCCCTCCCAGCCCCTCCAGCCCCTAGCGCCCCCACCTCCTCTGTCTCTGACTCTGACAACTCTAGGGACCTAGTGGAAGCCCTAGGACATTTGTCCTTCTATGACTGGCTTATTTTGCTGAGCACGACTTCCTCAAGGGCCGTCCGTGTTGCGGCCAGTGTCAGGGTTTCCTCCGCTTGAAGGCTGGCTTGTGCTCCGCTGAGGATGGGCCACATTGTCTGTTCATCGGTCCGTGGACACTTGGGCTGCGTCCACACGTTGGCTGCCCGGATTGGTGCTGCCGTGAGCACGGGGTGCACGTCGCTCTTGGGAGCCCTCACTGGGGTCTTCTGGGTACAGACCGGCCATGGGCTTGCTGGGCCACGTGACAATTGTCAGCTAACTCCTGAGTCCCACCTCACTCCTTCCCACAGTGCTGCACATTTTGCCCCCCACGCACACACCACGTGCCCGTCTTCCCCCAGTCTCGCCAACATGTCGCCTTCTGCTGTCGATGGCGCTCCGGGCCACGTTCTCCTGGGCACTGGTGGCGCTGGGTGTGCTTTGGGGTTCTCTTGGCCCATGTCTGAACCCTGAAGCCCGAGAGGACCCTGGGTGGGGAGCGGCCGCCACGGGCTCCCAGCCAGTGCTGTGTGTGGCACGGCCAGGCGCTCCCTTGACGTGCATCTCCCCCTCCCCCCAGATTCTATGCTGCCGAGATCTGCATCGCCCTCAACTTCCTTCATGAGCGAGGGATCATCTACCGGGACCTGAAGCTGGACAACGTCCTCCTGGACGCTGATGGGCACATCAAGCTCACGGACTACGGCATGTGCAAGGTGAGCGCCGGCCCACGCGCCCCGTGCTGCAGCCCCTGCCCTGTCCCACCAGGAATTGGCCCCTGGTGGCTGGGAGGTGCTGCTCCCTTCACCGTCCCAAGTTCAAGGTGTGTCCTTTGGGGGCCGTGTCTGTGAGTTCCCCTCCTGGACTGTCCCCACAGGAAGGCCTGGGCCCGGGAGACACGACAAGCACCTTCTGTGGAACCCCGAATTACATCGCCCCAGAGATCCTGCGGGGAGAGGAGTACGGTGAGCCCCACGCAGGGAGGGGGCGGGCGCTGCCCAGGGCCCAGCCGCCGAGGGTCCCCATCGGGGCCCTGGGCCCTGCACCAGTTTCCGTGGCCACCATCCACCCACAACCCAGCACGCACACCCTCCTTTCCCCCGGTGTCATTGTCTGGTCTCAGTCCCTGAATTGGATCCTCACCAACCCCCATGTGTCCACTCGCGGGTCCCCCAGGGAGGGTGTGGGCAGATCAAAAGACAGAAAGCCAGATGGGCTGGGCAGCAGGTGTTGATCCGTGTGCTGCCGCAGCTTGGGACCAGCAAGGGATTTGTGCAACGACAAGAGTGTGTCAGTCGGGCCTGTGGCCAGCTTGCGGTCACTGTGAACGCCAGCACGTATCTGCTCCTCTCTGTTCTCTGGGTGTGAAACAGCTCTGGGCGTGGTGCACGTATGCACCTGTGTGTGGGATTGAGTTGTGTGTGCGTGTTGTGCTGCACACACATATGTGCACTGTGTTCATATAAGGGTGCATGCATGCGCACACCCCGTGCACTTTTGCACCATTTTTAGGGAAGCACATCAGAGGTGTGCCTTCCGACGTTTTTGCGTTTCCTTTGCCCTTGCAGCGGGGTGGGAAGGCGGGTCACTCGCCTTCTGGGCTCCTGGAAGCTGCTTCCGTGGAAGTCACTCAGCAACCAGGGAAGAAAGAGCACCGTGGCGGATGAGGATAAAATCCAGGCCTGCCTGGGATGGGTCTCTCAGACTGCTGGCCCCACAGGCAGGACTGGGCCACATCTTCTGCTCCCCCATGTGCTTCACACATTCCCAACAGACTGACTGTTTGAGCATTACAAAAAAGCAAAACAATGAATGCAAAAATAATACAGGAGGCCGGGCATGGTGGCTCACACCTGAAACCCCAGAACTTTGGGAGGCTGATGCAGGAGGATTGCTTGAACCCAGGAGTTTGAGACCAGCCTCTACAAAGAATTAGCCAGGTGTGCTGGCGTGCGCCTGTAGCCCCAGCTACTTGGAGTCGGGTGGGAAGATAGCTTGAGCCAAGAGGTTGAGCTGAGGTGAGCTGTGACTGTTCCACTGCACCTCAGCCTAGGAGACAGCAAGAACCTGAAAAAAAGAAAGAAAGAAAAACTACAGAGGGCATTGTTGTTACCTCACAGGAGGTTTTTTTCAAGCTCAGTATAAGAAAGCAGAAGTGAGCCAGGCTCGGTGGCTCAGCCTGTAATCCCGTGCCTTTGGGAGGCTGAGGTGAGCGGACTGCCTGAGCCCACGGGTTTGAGACCCGCCTGGGCAGCAAGACCTCATCTCTACAATAAATCAAAAAATCAGCCGGGCGTGGTAGCGCATGCCTGTAATTCCGG